AACTTTTCAGACCACCCTCGTAAGTGTTATAAAAATTTATATCCGTCAGATAATATTTTTATTACGAAAATGATTTTTCTTCTCCTTCAGTCACACACTAGAGAGTTCAAGAAATGAAATTGGAAATGTCTATCGATACGGGACAAAGTAATAATCCGTAACTTTTCAATCACAATAATACTCTGTTATTAAATGAATTGGAAATATTCGATCACTTCAGTACAGTTTTACGTACGTGTACAAATTAGTTTTTAAAATGAGTACTGGCAAATACAAAGAAAAAAAATGCTATCTTATAATTTGTGCGAAATTAAATTGGCCAGACGAGATAAGCCAGTTCGTCAAATTCAATTCAGTATGACGGGGATGCTGAAGTCGATGACGAACTCGAATAATGTCGATAATGCGGAGACGATTGTCACTAACATAATCACGCTATCCTTTTCGAATTTCTTGTATATGCAGAATTTACATTTGTGTTTCTTTGCTTTACCATATCCGAGTCAAAATTTTGATGCTACTTTGACGTTCTGAAAGATAGTTCGTGCCTACTTAGAGGTTTATAGCCTAAGTAAAACCTACTTTAACGATATTGATATTCATTAACTTCTCTTTTGAACCTTTAACTCTACCTTGTCAAAATTTTGACGCTACTTTGACATTCTTAAAAATAGTTTGAGCCTACTTAGATAATCTATAACTTAGGTGAAACCTATTTTGACGATATTGACACTCATTTCCGAGTCGAAATTTTACCTATGTTGAATCTTGAATTCTATAAAATATATATATTCTGTGTAGGAGCTAAAGCTTCAATAGAGGTTCATAACTGAGCCTACTTTACTTCCTAAAAGATTCTACTATTACACAATCTACTTTGACGCTAAAGAAAGCGAAAATGGAAATTTCAAACATCATCAGGGTCAAAGTAGGAGTAAATTATATCATTAGAATTAAACCTACTTTGCTATCTTAGCTCATACTGCGGTGTGGAGTTCAACATAGGGTCAAAATTTCGACTCATATTCAACGGAAAACCTAATCATATATGTGTCTTTCTGCAAACTTTTTC